TAGACTTCTGAATGCTGTGTTTGAACGTGGTCCTTTGAGACATACTTCTCCATATTGTTAGCATTATTGCTCAGATTTACCATACCAGAGTACTGGTTTAATAAAATCCTCATCGGAGAGTGAATCATTAGCCAATCATTAGCACTTCTTTCCTGAAATAGGTGAAAATGTAAATGTAGAGGTCAGACATCTTTGCTATGGCAGAGAGAAATTTTTTAAATCTGGACACTTGCTAGGTAAGTCATAAAGCTAGCTGTTAAAATATGCTTTTTAATACTCTCTGTTAAAAAAGTGTGTGCCATTTTCTTTCATCTGCTTGTTGTGATTTGAATTAAGAAAACAATCCAGACATTAGGAAAAATTTCTTTAACTAAAGATGGTCAAACATTGGCACAGGCTGCCCAGGGAAGTGGTGGAGTCACCATCGCTGGAGGTGTTTAAAAACCCGGTGTTGATGTGGCACTTGTGGACATGGTTTAGTGGGCATGGTGGTGTTGGGTTGATGGTTGGATCTGATGATCTTAGAGGTCTTTTCCAACCTAATAATTCTGTGATTCAAGCCTGCCACGCAATGAGGTGCTCAAATGCATGTATTTCCATCAACTGTAGATCAAAAAACTACCAGCACCTTTTAATCAACTTTAAATCTAGCACAGACACGTAACACTCAGCCTGTAAAGGGCGATAGAAAGACAACAGGAAGATCAAACACACACCCAGCTCATCTCTGTCCCTAGTATCTTGTCTGCACTTGCTGTTGGCACTAGTGAGTGATCCAATGTAGGGGAAATACCATACTGAAAGCTTTATTCAAAACTACTGCAGATTGTTATTCGACAGCTCCAGTGCAACAGCTTCATTTGCTGACGTTGGATTGTTCAGGATTCTCAATACAAATATTATGTGGAAAGTTATAAGTAAAGCTCAGTGGGTGCAAAAAAAACCCCAAAACCCCCACCAAAACAAAAAACCAAACCTTTTTTAGGAGAATTCTTATTTCCTGACTTGTACTCATTAAAAATAAGCAGCAAAAACATAAAGCAAGGATAAAAGGTTTAGCAATTTCATTTTCTTTTGGATAGGAACTGGCTGGGAACTTGCCAACTTCCTCCCACTGAAAATCTTTCTGAAATCCAAGAGCTCTGTGCTTGTTTGGCAAAAGGGACACCATGTGCGAGCCAATGAAAGATGCTTTAAGATGCTACCTGAAACACCAGAAGCCAGCAGAGAGCAGAGACTATAGTAAGGCAAGAACTCTTTCATTTTAAATTAGAATGCTCAGTGCTGCCTGAACACAATTAATCAGTCAAGGATTTACATCTATTTTTGAGGGATCATTACAGTACAAAAATAACCTGCGGGTCTCACTGACTGACAGTGTTTGTTTTCCAAAGATCTACTGTTATCCTGTTGCTTTATTAACTGACAGTTGCTGATCAGTGAATACTAGAGGAACATCATTAAGTTCTAGGTGAAATACAGAGCATCTACACTGGATTTAGGTAGTGCTATTTATGGTTTTGTATAATTTTACCCGCTAAACTTACAAATTTTATTCATGACTGAATTAATTTGCTGAATCCAGTTTCTTCAAGCTTAGATTGTCCATGTTACTTTCATCCAAACATGCTCTACTTTAATGACAGCAAGGTTTCTTTTGCTCCCACTCTTCTGATGTGGGACTGCTCTTACAATGCTTGCTATCAGACTAAAGAGTCTATTTCTAACTTCCAGCCTAAGTGCATTCACAGCCACATTTTGCTCTTGCTAGAACTGTCCTTGATCTTAAATGCCATTTCCACTTTGTTTTATACCCTCTTTTCCTCTAACGCACCTATAGGAAAATTATGATGCTTCATATCAACCTTTATTGTGGTTTTTTAACAAGAGTTACTATGTTCCCCTGGCCCAGTGATTTTTCTTTTCATGTATCCCTATTTCCCCATATTCATAGAATTTAGGTCAGAAGAGAACTCTGGAGGTCATTTAGTCCAACTCTCTGCTCAGAGCAGGCTCAAGTAGGTCAGGTTGCTCGGGACCAAGAAAAACTTTGAGGATCTCCAAGGATGGAGATCTCAAAGGATGGAGATCCTGCGGTCTTTCTGGACTCCTGTTCCAATAGTTGACTACTCCTGTGCTAATTAAATACATAGACATACATGTCATTTCGTATGTTCCAACTTTTTTCCATCGCCTCTTGGCCTAGCACTTTGTACCTCCAAGAAGTATCTGTCTTTGACTTCTCTACACCCTCCATTAGCTGTAGACAAGATCCTCCTCTAAGCTGTTCTGTCTAAGGCTGAACACAGCTGGTTCTCTCTGCCTCTTCTGTTACGCTTGTGTTCTCCATGAAAGATAAATTTAATTGCTGTGCAAGGTAATCCAGTTGAAACCTTCCCAATATTTTAGACTATACTAGTACTGATTCAGCTGGAATTGGCTCCCTCAGCTACATCCTACAGTCTTATTCACAGTTCCCTGTTCCGTTGGTGGCTGTCTCTTTGTGATCAATGACAGTAAGACGTCCCCTTGCCCCATCCGAGTACGAGGTTCCTGGTTCAAATTTCAGCTTGTAGGATCCCAACTGGACTTCCTGTTGTTTATTTGTAAGTCTGGCTTCTTGGGCGGTGACCTTACATCCAGCTTACTCCACCTTCAAGGTCCTCCAAATCTTTCTGTAGGGGATGATTATCCTTCCCATTTTGAGCCTCCAGCATCTTTCACCAGAACAAGAGGCAGAGGCTGATGTTCAAAGTATTATTCCCTGCCCCATGCAATAGGTGTGTATGCAGAAAGGAGCAAATCTTAAATTCTTAGAGGGAATTACAACCCTTGAGAAAGAGGGTTTGATCTTGAAACAGCAGCTAATGAATTCTGGGTCATTATTGTGCAGCCTGTTGGATACCACATGCTAGAAAAAAACAAACCCTGGGGCACAAACATCTAAGCAGTAAATGATCCTTCAGTTGTACATATGTTGTGGAAAGTGGATTGTCCATTACAGTAGCTACATCAGACAAGCATAAGTTTGTTCATGGTTTAGAGATAGTAGGATCTGTTTGTGTCATTATCCAGCCCCATAAATAACTTCTTTAAGAGTGTGACTTGCCTGTATCTTCCGTAAAGGCTATTTTAAGGAATAAAATCCTTCATGTTGGAGCCCTTTGAAAAGTTGGGGGGTACTTAACAACTTCTTTTGAATGCAAATGTGTTTTGATTTTCCTAAAACAGTGTCCCAGGAATGACTGACTATAAATAGTAATCTGAAATACAGTGTTAATTATTTTGACAGAAACTTTTCCAGATCTTTGTTGCCACACTAAGGTAAGATGTGGGGCTGAACCCAGAGCAAAATCTATCCAAAGCCGTTATGATATATCTGCTCTCTGTGCTCTTTGAGTCTTACACCTGCCCTGATACTGTCACCTTCAAAGGAAATAACAAAGTGATGCTTCTTGTGAGGATGGGATTCAATGCAGCAGCTCTGTTCCAGGTTGCCCTGGAATTCCACTATCTTCACGCTTACTGACAAGTTGAGTCTTCACATTCAAAGACCTTTCAGTCAGACCTTCGGAAGCAAATTATTTCTGTCAGTGGCAACGAAACAGTATACTTAGGTTCACGTACCTGAGGTGACATAAACGTGCCTGCTCAGCAGAGCAAACATCACCGTGCTGCTGCGTATGGCCTTCTTGCTGTTACTGTTTTTAAAGCTAGCCAGGAGAGGCGGTTTGGCTGCAGTGTGGATGGACCAAGTTGCCCACTACTCTGACATTACAGCCTGACTTGCCTTTCGCTCACAGTTGTGTATGAGCCCTAAAAAAACCCCCATGAGCGTTCCAGCTCTGCATGCATAAAGTACGCTCTATTACTTCAGCATCTCAAAGAATTATTATTTGCAATATTTTGATGTAAAATCTCGTATCATATTAACTTGGTATCTACAATAAAATCATTACAGTTGTTTCAGATGTCACCTTTCCATTTGTTACCCCATCTCTGGATGCAGACTGGGCAGCAAAGGTCTCCGCGTGCTCACCGCATCAGATGGTGAGGGTTTATGTAGGAAGTAACTGGTACGAAACTTTCTTACAGTCTTTACTGAAGGCATGGTAATCAATGAACTTTGCGTTGCCTGCACATGAACCTTCCTAGACACAATTCATAACTCTATAGACTAGAATCTATACTTCTAGTCGTAAGAATTGAGAAGGGTTATGACCTGAAAACTTGGAATTATCAGAGCTTCACGTGTAGACTGAGCATTTTATACTAAGGGAAGTAAGCTCAAATACCTGAAAGAAATAAATCTTGGACTTCACAATAAAGTCACAATAGAAGTAGTTTGTCTAATAGTGAAAGTAAACTTCATGGAACTGGTTTAATTCTTTCACTGAGAAAGGTAAAAGGCCTGTTCGGATTTCTTTCTCTCTGTACCTAACACCTGAAACATGGTCTCAATGTACTTTTCTTTCTGTAGTACCCAGAGCTGTTGTCAAATGACAAGAAAGTCTGTTGGATCACTATTGTCAAAGTCTTCTAATCCATGGAGGTGGGCAAATGTTTCGACATGTTCTCAACTTTCTAAGACTTGGGAAATTGCTTTCACCAGCTGAATTTAAGCAAGCAGAGTGGATGTGTTTCTTTTATATTATTAAATGGCTGCAGGGGAAGCAAACATGGGGATCTGTTTTCTATCTTCACAGAAATATTATCCAAAAGAATTAAAACTTTTCATTTTAGCCCTGAAGTAAACTGTTCTATCTAAACATAAATTACTGGGATTTAGAGATTGAGAGATGCTTTTGTTTCAGTGCGTACGCCTTTACTGATTGATATGACGGACACTTGTACTGCAGGGTATATCACAGACTGGTGCATTGTATGCACACCTTTAGCAAAAAGGGAATATTTTTTAATTTATTGATGAGATCATTGCATCCCTTTTCAGATTTTTGTGGGGTTATTTTATGGCAGGGCCAGCAGTCTCATTAGTTCAGCTGAAAAACACTCCATCTGCCCCCTCTGCTGGTGTCTCTGTTCTAATGTTGAGAAATGTGTCTTCCACAACTGCAGTGGCACAGGAACGGAGGAACATGGGATGCTTAAAGAGGAGAGGGCACTCTTCCTCCATATGCATATCAGTCTATTAGGTCTCTAAACTTTATCAAATATCAGAAATTGAGATGGCTTAAAACACCGATCTCCCAAGGATAACGTTTTTCACTGTGTTTAGCTTGCTCCTGACGCTGCGCAGAACTGACCCCTTGGTGATACTGTTTCTTGTAGCAGTTTCCCTGGGACTGATGCTCCTGCCACAACTACGTGTTACCTGGCATCAGAAGATCTTTTGGTCTCTTCAGTCCTCGAAGCAGAATATCTTCACTGCAGATCACCAGATGATCTGGTCATTTTTAGCACATTGAGCACATTTCCAAGAGGAGTATGTGTGTTCATTCCTTTCCCCAGGGCCAATAGAAATGTTATGCCAGTGGTGTCTTTGATACAATAACCACCGCTTGCTTCCATGACTGTCATCAAAGGCAGAGGAAGCCAGATGTCAGACACTGCAGCCATGTATACAAGCAAACTAAGTATGTCTGGAACACTTCTGGGCACTGAGGCCAGCCGCCCTTCTGCTAGTGATCTGCTTTAACCCCCAGAGATGGTGACTTCACCCCTCCCGACCACCGCAAACAGTCCCAGGAACATCCGAACAGCCCAACCTCACCTGGGAATTGGTGGAGGGGGGTAAATTGAGTAGGACTAAGGACAACACTAATAGCTTACTAGCAGAGACAATCATACTCTAGGGCTAAGAACATTTCTGGGAATGGTGGATGGCCTAGTGGCCCATCGAACCTGTGAACCCTCTTTATGGTTTCCCTATGGAAAATGCCATGGTGAATGTTCCACATGAACCCGTCATGAGTGTCACAGAGCAGAGGAGGATTCCTGCTTCTCAATGTCAGGTTTTATCATCAATATCTATGGCTAATTAAAGGTAAAAAAAAATAAAAGAGGGGTCAGAGATTTTCACTTAACTGGTAGAAGGGCAGTAGCTGAAAAAGTATTGAAAACTGCAAGTTTCAAAAAGACTGAAGGGTGCTGCTGAACACCTCTGGCTTAGGAGCTCAATTATTTTGCCTGCACCTTTTCAAAAGTGTGCCATCTATTTTGGGATTCCTGACATAAAATTCAGACTCCATGGAATTCAACAGAAAGACTTCTAGCCATTTCAATAAAACCACTTTTTTTTTCTCATTGTTTGAATGATGAATGTGAAACAGGAAAAAAAAATTGGTTTGGCTACTTTTCAGTATTTAAAATGATAGACTATTTGCCTGTTAAAAGAAAAATCAGTTCTGTGAGTGCATTTTTATTTTGTGTGGTGACTGCCTGAGCTTCCAAAATTATATATATATTTGGAAAAGATAACGTGTTAAGATAGTTTCACAGTGATTTTACAATTCAGTTTATTTGCAGCGTAAAGAGAATGGCCTCTCTTTTGTCAAGAAGCAGAGGAGTACCAGATCCCTTCTCTTTTAGAGGCCCTTTATTGCTTCAATGCATACTGGTAGATAAAAATTCTCTTTCTTTTTTTCTGTTGTATAATGTCCTTTCATCTGACCTAGCAGTGTTTGTCCTTTGAAAGGAGCACAATTTTCTCATTTCCTTCTGAAACACAGCTACTGGAGGCTGAGCAATTCCACCACCTTTTGAGCCACGTTTTTCCCATGAGTTATTTGGGTACTGGAACAGAAACAGAATAGACCTCAATCACCTCTCCAGTAACCAAGGAAAAATGCAACTGTTTCTCCAAAGACTTGTTTCTCCATTGCTGACAACTTGAAAAATAAGATTGGATGTTTTTCTAAAAGACATTTTGGTATTAAAACAGGAATTAGTATTCAGTATTACTGAAGACCAGGTCTCACAATCGCAGTGGTCTTCTCTGGCCTTATAAAATCTGTGGCTCTGCAAACACCACTGTTTTCTTCTCTACTTGCCCACTAGAGGGACGGACAAATTGTTAAACCACAGGCCTCTTAGAAAGTCCACAGAACTGAGACATTTCAACTCCTGAACGCAGAGCACTTCAGAAGATGACCTAGCATGGACCTTCTCTTCAGTATTGTTCTGAGCGAGCTCTAGTAGAAGTCAGTGGATTCTTACTTAGGCTGCTCAGAGGCCGTTTAGGCATTTTAAAGTCAAAGTATATCCCTTAAAATCTTCCCAGAAGATCATCAATCACCACAGCAGGTTCTGAAATACCAACGCTATGGGCTGCATCAGGATTTCCAGCTTTGTTTTACTGCCACGAGCAGTAGTAGGACGCACTAGTGGTAGCTACTGGTGTCCCACCAGTGGTGGCGGCAGCTCCTAGATTTCTGTGACGAAGAAATCCTAAATGTCATTCACCCACTTCCCCATCTCAGTGTAGAAGCCTGAGCTCACATTCCTACACCTATAGAGAGAGAGGAGGATGTCAGAGGAACTCTGAGGCACTCTACAGGGGCATGACAACATTTTACATTCCCTAGGAGGGTTTAGCTGAGGACTAGCGCTACTCTAGCACAGAGTCCTCCACCGCTCTTTAGTGTTTTCCCAGCAGGGAAGGCGTCAGCATTTCTATCTCATACGCCAAAGGCCTCTAACAAAGTCGAGCAATTGGGGATTGGTCCCTAGAGCTCTTTGCTAGGTCACTGGTCAGCTCCATAGGTGGTCGTAGCCAATCTCTGTCTGTCAGAGGCAGAGAGCAGCAGCCACTCTGTGCTTCCAGAGTTTCTTCACCTTTTCAGAAACTGCCGTGCAACTCAGGCAGTCACTGCCAGGAGCTGAGCTTCTTAAGCAGAATCAAGATTCAGTTTTGAAACCATGAATGTAGATGGTTGACCTGGATCTGACTAGCTTGCTCCCCAAAGTGTCTAGAACCTCTCCATTAAAAAAAGAGAGGGAAAAAAAGCCATCTAAAATGGATGTCAAGAAGACATGGCTTGGGCTGATCAGCAAGGCTTACATAAATCCTTGGATCAAGGTTTTGTGACTGCTGGAACAGAGACAAGGAATCATTTTTGCCTCCTGTGTATCTGCAGCACCTCTTCAGAAATTCTCGTCACAGGTGGGTGGTGAAAACTCCTGGTACTTTGCTACCCTCATATTCTGTGCTAGTGATAATTGTGAACTCCTTCCATTCTCCAGTGGCTTAAAAGTAGCTCGTGACAATAATGAACGTGATATACACAGATCCGATGGTGACGGGAACTCCTGGCAGCTCCTGTTACAGTTTGACTGGATGTTGCCCCTGGAAAAAGTTATTATTATTTGTAAATATTTTTCTAGATTATGGATTCAAAATAATTAATTGCACAATGGAGGTTCTTTTCCATTAGAAGATTAAGTGTTGTGTCTCGGAATGAAGAGCGTGAGTTCAGCAAAGTCCCAAGAGAAGTAAGATTTGGTTTTCAGACTGTGTTGCCATAAAGCACTTCTAAAAGCAATTTGAAATAGAAAAGTGACAACTTTAAGTTCCCCAGTACTGTTTTGCTTTTTTTTTTTTTTTTTCTCTGCAAAATCAGCTACAAAATGAGTCTTGGAAAACTCTCTTTATAAAAAGACAACGTCTTCATTTTAAAAAGCCAGGTTTTGAGCATCGAGAGAGAATGGCGAACAGAAATAGACATCGTGTTTGCATATCGCAGGAACAGGAGAGAGCTCCTTCTATAAAGAGATAGTTTAGGTGGAGATCCACACTTAATTCCACAGGAGATTTCAAGCCAGGGTGCTTTATTTCTGGCTTTTATTTCTGGTTTTATCCAATGACTGTATGCTGTAAAGTCATGTGGTCAAGGTCCTCTGGTCTGTGTTAGCTTGATTTAAACTCCACAAGCCTATATTCTTTTAGATTCTTCTTTTGCTCTTGTGGTTTGCATTGCTGGTTACTCAGGGAGTACCTGTCCCCGAGGGTGGGAAATGTTTTCATGTAGGCTTCGGCGTGTCTTGGAAACTGGGGCACCTTGCTGAGTCGCAGGAGATTTGGGTTCTGACCCCTCTGGGCAAGGAGGACCTCAAAGCCAGATCTCCTGGTTCCTCGGTGGTAAGATGGGAGCAGCAAGCTCAAGCAGTGCGCTGGGGCAGGAGAGTGTCCTGCAGAAACTCTGTCTAGTCTTTGGAGGCAGGGGAAGGGGGACAAGTTCTTCCTGCTCAAGTGTTTGAATGCTTTTAGTCCTTGTTTGAAACCAGCAGCTGGAAGTTGCCACCGGTCTGCTAGAGAAAGGCAGCATGAAGGTGCAGCCTCTGCAGTATTTACATGCTGATATCAAACTGCTCTGCCCTGTAGCTTAACACTGGTGCAGCTTGCTTTAACTTGCCAAACCGTCGTCTTGTGCAGAACGTGCTGCTGTCAGTTCAACAGCCAGAACTATCTTAGCTGTGGTGGTAGCAGGGATGTTGAGGTGCTGCTTGTGTCTATCTTTGGGTTCAGCAAAATTCAGTGAGAGGGGCTGAGGTGATTCAGGACAGCGTAACATCAGCACTGAGTTATCAGGGCAGGGTTTGAGAGCCTTAAGGCACCATGTCCAACACAGAGGTGAGAATGCATTTTCCAGGGTTAAGAACTTAGTCCTTAAATGCTTGTATTATAACGAGTAAAATACCTCAGTTATTAGGAAAGGCAAATCTTATAATTCCTTCTGTATCAATTAGAAATAAGAACGTTTCACTGTATTTTTAGATGTACTCATGTACACCTATAGATTCCAGAAAACGCTGTACTAATACATGGAGTAATACAAAAGATCTGAAGGGAAAGCAAAAGACCAGTGGGGCAGAGTATTCCAAGACGATTTTGTGGGCTAAAGGGATAAAGCGTGGGAATACATGTGGAGGATACGACGTACCCTCGGGCAGCCTGGTAAACTCCAGCTATTACAAACGCTTGGTAAGCCCTCCAAGGAAGAGAGGAATGAGAATCAGTTTAGCAAAGAAAGTGGAAAGTAAGGACTTGGCAAGTCACATCCAGAAGTTAATTTCCCTGGTAAAGGAATAGGGCTCAGTCAGCTCCAAGAGGTGTGATTTTTCAGCACGTGAGAACGTCTGAGGGTTGTATCTCCAAGAGTGTGCCTCGGTGCCAGGCTCCCGAAAAGGACAGAGGTGTCAAAGCTCCTCTTGCCCCTGCTCCCGGGAAAACAAGCTTTACAATTCAAGGAAACAATCACATTACCCAGTATGAAGTTGGGGCTGAAGGAAAGCAGCTGGAGTGATACGTGTTCACATAGAGTTTACCAGTTACTCCAAGTGCTAGAACGTAGCGATTCAGCACCACTAAAACCACTCCTGCAGTAGGAAATGATGCTGAGAATACGAACAGGGAGCAACCAGAAGGTAAATGACTGCTTTGTGATTGCTGTTTTCACAAATGATGTGTTTAATTAACTACCCAACTTGTGTAAACAAGATACTTTGATCACGCTGATGAATTTCAGTGGCAATTTCAAGATTTTCTTGTTCTTCTGCTCACAGGATGCTTTCCCAGTGAAGGAAGAGAGAACACCTTGCAAATGAAACTCATCACTCTGAAAGACGGTGAGTTGGTTGCCAAGTGTTAAGCAAGGGCTGGATTTTACTGCTCGTCTATGCAGAGTTTAGTACTAAAAGTGTGTTTGCCAGAAAGGGGGAGCAGCTTTTAGATTCACTGGCATTAATGAATGGTGCTTTAATTGGCTCATTGTTACTCTGCCTTTAGAGCTGTGTGGGGAACAGTGAAGCTGGTTTGATGTGCTTGAGTCATCCAGTTAGATACAGAAACCTGTCACTTAGCACAAAGACCGAAATATTTTTATGCCAAACCCAGAAGTTTCTACAGAAATGTGTAGAAGTGACAAAGATTTATCTGATTAGCCAAGGTACTAAGTGCAAACTCAAGAAACCTCAGTGGAAAGCCTCAGTCCGAGACTTCTTCTAAGAAGGGTTTGATTCACCCTGCACTGCTTCCACCTTGGGTAACGTGGCAGGTTTTCACAGGATAGTTGGCAAAGCAAAATGTATTAACAATGTTTGGGGATGGTTTTGTTCCCATAGCACTGCAAGCCAGGGTATTATTTTCCTAGAAAAAAAAAAACCAACAACCCTCTTTCATATTGCATGAAAGAATCCTGGACTGAATTGTGCTTAGGTTCCATTAGGCTGAGCGTAGTGGTTGCTCTGTCTGAATTTTCCATGCAGAAGAGGGAAGTAGAGAAGAGCTATAATGTTATACCTAAGTTTGCACATTATTTGTGTAAAGGTTGTCATTTACTGTCCCGTGGTGTTTCAGCTTTCCTGGGGAAGCATCACATCAGCACAAAGACAGAACGAGGTGTAACTTTAAAGAGAAGATGACAATAGTGTGGTGTTTCAGAATCAGAATGTTCAGAATGGTAGGGGTTGGAAGGGACCTCGAGAGATCATCTAGTCCGACCCCCTGCCAGAGCAGGCTTATCCCATTACTACTGATCCAGGCTTTGCTGTCAAACTCAACCTGTATCCCTCCACAGAAACAACGGACAGCGAATAAACCCGATGTTGTTCTGGCAGACCACAGAAATGTAGGATTGACTCTTAAAGTTGAACATCCAACTGGTTTCAGGCAGTGATGACTTTTGCACAAGCAGCAAAGAGAGCATTGTTTGCAGCACTCTGCTGGACGCACCCAGCTGGGTGCTCCAAAGGTTCCAGCACTCTCCAAAGGTGCGGAATCATAAATAGCTCCAGGATCTTGCTGCAGAGGTTTTTGGTATGAAAACTGTTCTCTCTGTCATGGTTTGTGGTCAGTTCTGACTAGCTGAGGTTATCGCAGCCAAACCCCTGCTTACATTTAATCCTTCAAAGCAGCCGGGCAGCAGCTGCCTGACCTAGTGGGTGCCTTCAATATTTATTGGTGAAGCTCTTTAATGCATCAGGAAAGATGCAATGGTCTGAACTCCATGTTCAGTTTTTATTCAGGCAAAGACACTGAGCTGAGGTTTGAATGCTGGCTGTCAGGACTCAGGTGCAGGAAAGCCTTGGACAGGAACGGCACTAAAGAGGCCAAAGGCTGGATGACTGAAATGGTGAATGCTGAAAATACAGCCTTTTTTTTCTTTTTTTCCTAAGGCAATTGTGTTCTTTCAACTGTTCCTTGTAGATAGAGTTTTTCTTACTTTTGCTCTGTCGCACAAGGAAATATTCTATGCCAGAGTGCCACTTTTTCCTGACCAATGGCATCCTGGACTCAGTAGGGCAGAAGGATCCCAAAGAAATCACAGCCAAAGTCGGGACCCTTGTGAACGGGCTTTGGGTAGGTACAAGCTCCTGCCAGCCTGGGTGAGCCATGGCCACTCGGCTTCCTCAGCCTGCCAGTGGGGTGGCAGGAGGCAGAAACTTGGCTCATCTGGGAGCCACAGCTGTGGGGACGGCTTCAGCTGGACAGTCCCTCAGGTCCAAAGAGGAGCATGGGGCTGCTCAGCACCAGGGGCCGGGAGTCTTTCCAGCTGCCTTTCTTAAAACCAAGGGTACCCCTGAAGAGGGTGAGCCAGCCCCAGGGAGTCTTGAGACTCAGGCACCCTGGGAGCGGGGAAGAGGTCTGGCCTCCTGCAGCATGTCCTGCCCCCGGCGCCTCGGCAGCCTCCCCCTGCCTGTGCGCTGCAGTGTGCTTTGCTGGGGGGCGGCAGGAATAAAGGCTTATCCTCAAGAGGCCAGGAATTTCTGGGGGTTTTTAATTTGCATGGGAAGTAGCGATCCCACCCCACAGCCCCTCCCCAGCATTCCCACACTAAGAGCTCCAAACAGAAGCATTTTTCTTCTCTGCTGGGAGAGGAGAATGGTATAAGGATGTGGGAGAGCTTGTCCTTGCATTTTCCTCTGCTAGTGGGTGTGTGCGACTGACTCCAGCCCTGCTACCTCACTCCGATCCTTTCTAACCTTACTAATCATTAATCCTGGCCAAGCCTGGACCAGGAACTTCTCCATCCAAAAAGTGACTTCACTGACACAGGCAGTGTTGCTGTCTGGGCCCTGCAAGCACACCTGCCTGTGGATATGGATCTGTCGTGTCTTCAGATCCAGCAGATCACACTGGGGGAGTTTGTTGCTGAGGTACTGAACACAGTGTTTTAAAGGAAATCAAAATGTGCACGGAGGGCTGCTTCAGTGGGTGGATGTAAGTAGCATTTGCCACCAGGCGATGCTGTAGGGCTGAGCTGCTTTTTGATTCCAACTGCTGTTGGCTTTCTGTTTAAACTAGTTGACTGTTCCCAGTGACTTAAGGGAGGGGTCAGACATTTTACAGTATAAAGTGACTAATGTCATGTATAGTCTTAATAGGAGTTTAAAAATTCTGCTGCTCCTTTAGGCAAGTGCCCACAAAAAGCTGGCAAAAGCCATGGCGGGTTGTTAAGAAATGGAAGAGAGGGGGATGCTGCTGTCCTGCTGTCAGCGGGTGGCTGAAGGGTTTGTGCTTTTTCAGTTCACCCTGCTGCTGGCATGGAAGTACAGCCACTGCCTCGACTCGCTGCTCCGGAGGGGGTTTGCTAGATTCGTCCACTGCTTTGCTTGGAAATGTAAGTTACAGAACATTAACAAAAAGCTGAGCCAGGTACTTTTTGAAATGTGTTTGTTTTCCTGGGGCAGGCAAGGGGAGCGTACACACCTCACCTGCTGATTAAGAACAAGCCCTTTTGCTCAGCCTCTTTTTAACAGCGACTTTTAGTGAGGAATCCTTGTATCTGCCACCTTCTTCTGTCCTTTCATGTCTTTACTAGTGGCCCACAGGGTTTATTTAAGATGACGATGCTTTCACAAGACAAGGCTGTAGCTCTGCCCCAGGCAGCTCCTGTCTCTCTCCCTCTGCCTGGAGGGTCAGGCTGGTTTTCCACCCATGACCCAGCCTTCATCTCGCTCCTCGCTGGGGCTACACTGGGTGACTCCCTGGCACTGTGTTAGAAAACACTGGGCCAGCAGCTGGGCAAAGGCTTGTTCCTTCCCCAGAGCCTTATTTAGGCAAAATATGCTCACATATTTCTTAATATGATTTGCCCAATAAAATCAGAATAATAATCCAAGCTTTAGAGAAGTTGCTTCATGTTTTATTTTAAGCACGTCCTGCAGACACGGCTCATTGCTGTTCCTGTTTTAAAACCTCCACTGCTCTGGGGAGGAGAGAGCTGACACCTCTCCTCCTGTGAACTGGAGTGAGGCACCGTTGGTTTCACCCTGTCTAACCTACCTGATGAGAAAAACATTATTTCAGCCCCCCAGCCCCATTCCAAGAGGGCATCGAGATGCCCCAGGGACAGCTGCTTGTCTCGGCTTGTGCCTCTTTCCTCTTCTTCAGCCCAGGTGCCCAGGCTGAAATCAAGATACAACGCAAACAAGATGCATATAAAGAAAATAACCTTTATTAGACAAATCAATAAAACCCTGAAAAAACAATGTCAGGTAAACATCACTAAAGGTTTTTCCAGCAATGCAGAAACCTTTGAAACAGAAATCCAGGAAGTTTCACGTTCCTCTTGTTGCATTAGTAAATTCTCTCCCTCCTCTGATGTGAGCTATTGCTGTCGTGACAGCCTCAAAGTCTTCCATTAATTCAGCAATTATTTCAAAATAGCAACTTCTGAAATCTTCCCTGTGCAACTGTTTCCCACACAATTTTGTACAAAGGTGTCAAACTGTGTTCTCTTTGCTATCTGCAAGAACAAGGCTTAAAAACCATCCAGCTTATTAAAAATAAACAAGAGTTGGATATACAGTACAGGAATTCCCCAACTTGAAGGAACGCGGTCGGTACACTGAGGGTAGCTTGGGTGGGTGCGAGGTTTAACATCAGAGTGGACAGCACTGCGCTGCCAAGGGCCAGCAGTTAACCTGCAGTTAAGTTCCTGCTCCATCTTCTGCCTCAGGCTGCATGGGACACCATTGCCCCCAGCCCTTGCGAGCACAAGTTACAGGAGTAGAGAGGAGTTTGGCATCAAGTAACAACACTTTCTGAAAATGCTCATTTTTGTTTCCTCCAAGAACAGGGCAAGGGGGCAAAGCCACACAGGGAGCTTTGATGGTACTGGTGACCAGGCCACCAGGGAACCCAGGGCACATTTGTCCCTCTGTGCTCCTTCAGACAACATCCACTTAAGGTTCAGCACTAGAATCAACCCACTGGGCTCAAAACCTGCCCACCTCACGTGCCACCACCATCCAAAGCTCCTCAAACAAGCCACAATGGTGGGGCTGAAGCACCCAGCAAGGGGCTGAGTCAGAGGTGAATCCAGCAGCCAGTCCCTGCCACCCCAAAACCCGGGGCGCTGCTGGGACGAGGCACGCTGGAGTTTTAACTTTGCCACTCACGCCCTGTGCAACTGTGACCTGTCCCCATGAGGAGAGAGAGGGGACTCGCTGCTGGGACAGTGGCTACATGGGGTAAACGGCTTAAACTGGAGCCGGGAACGGTGGTGACTTGTGCCTCCCGCCCTCTCCCTTCTTGTCACTCCTAGCCCCCTCTCTGCTGGCTGCTCTGGACTCCCCCTTCTGCCTCGGCCTTCCTGCAGTGGCAGGGAAGTCCCCACGTGGGGATCCGTCCCCTCCCTGGGGACCGTGCTCAGGGCTCACAGGGTTGAGCTAGCAGCTGGTTAGCGCAGAGATGGCACAGGGAGACACGAAGAGCTGACAGGGGGTTAAGGCAGAGATAAGCTCAGCACTAAGGCACTGGAAGAATCATCTGAAGAGACAATTCACTGTAACAATGAAATTACTTTTATTAAAACAGTAGTGTTAAGCCAAGAAAAATAAATTATTGCTATGATAGACATATTTAGAACATGAGGAAGGATGTTAAATCTTGAGCTCCAGGTCACTATAACCCTGAAACAGAAAGTTACACTACTTCTCTTAAATACCTCGGTTTCTCTTCATGCCCTTCCAAAAACTTTATAAAATGTGCAGCTTACAGAACAAATAGCAACAGAGTCACTCGTAACAAAAATCTGTACAGCTCATAGCTTTAAAAATAATACTTTTTTTTTTTCTTTTTCTCCAAACTGCTATGTTACTCATTACTCATAAATACAGGGCTAAATGAGTTTTGAACGCCCAAGGTCCCATCCAACACCAAAGCTATCACATGTCGTTGACAGAAACCTTCTCAGGACTGTCCCCCAGCCAGAGGTCGGGTTTGGGGCTGTTTGAAAGAGCCTGATCAGGTGTAAAAGACAAAGAAACCAAAAAAACCAACACATCTTTATGGGTGAAGACTGTCTCCTCCTGCTGGTCAGAGGCCTGGGGTCTTCTGAGTTTGAAATAGCAATCAAACCTGGAACACAGCACCGTGCAAGGGGTTAGACCAGCTGCATGCCCATGACATGGCAGGACCCCCCAGGTCCCTCCGTCCTGGCCAGCGGTGATTTTGCAGAACGCCCGAAAACCACCGTTTGTCAGAGCTGTGTTTTGGTGGGGAAGGAACGTTTCATTGGAAGAGCCTCGCAGGAGAAGCCTGGCTCTTCCCCAACGCGGAGGGCTGCCTCCGCACCTCGGGCCTCACCCAAAGGCTCCGGGCTGCTCTCTGGCAGCAGTGGGCCAGCAAATCCCACTGTGGCCACTTCAAAAAGCCTTGTCTGTGCCCACACTCCCCCAGAAGGGGCTCTGGATCTTAAATTTTGACCTTGGCTGGTTCTGTTCAGCTGGTTATGAACTCCCACACCTGAAGATCACAAGCCGTGTGCCTGTGTGCTTGTAACACCTCCTCCCACCGACAAACCTACAAGCCGTCTACCACCCTGGGCCTTGACCACTGAAGCCCTTTGGAGGTTCAAAGGAAACTGCGGGATAAATCCAGCTTGGGGAGAACACCATGGATTGCCCAAGGCAGTTCAGACGGCTTAACGAAGAGCAGGATTTCGGCAAACAGCCACAAGAAACAGATTAGTGGTTAGAGAGCTGGGGAACATTCAGAGGAAAGAAGCTTGTCCAAACACTGAAGACAAGGTGGTGCTCAAGCCCCTACTACCTGGAAGTGATTTTGCTTGATTTGCTTCTGCTTCCTTCAACAAGGGAGGCACCAGACCGGCTCTGTGGGACCTGGTCTTCTCTAATCAGGTGAATCAAAGCCTCAGAGACCCATCAGGAATGTGGGTGGAAAACTTCTCATTGAGAAGCAGAGGGTGAGGTTCTCCTGACTCAGAGCTACTGACAAACCTGACCAGCACTCAGAGCTGCTGGAAAATCCCCCTCAGGGGCTACTTACAACAACTCCATTTCCTTGGGCGGTATACGTGTGCAGAGGGGCTCACACTATTGTCGAGGGACTTATGGTGACCTGGCCTGCTTTCTGCAGAGGAGAGAAGCCAGCATTAGTACAGGGTTAGAGGACAACAGCATCAGGACATGATCTAGTGGGAAGGGAAGAGGCTGAGGACTCTCAGGAAGATAAGAGGAGAACACTGACATCTCGGAGCAACAGGCTCCTGCTCCTCCATCTCACCCCTGCCCAAAAAAGGCCCAAACCTCCCAGGAAAGGAGCTTAGCAGCACTCGTGGCAGAGCTCCATCCATCCCAGGAGGTTACGTGTGTACCCCAGCCCACGGCACATTATAACTCCAGCGTGCGCCACGTCCCCTCCTGGTGTAGCCTCCATCCAGCACTGCGGGTCCTTTCCAGTGCATCTCCTCAGGGATCTTGGCCACTGCAGGGGAGGCTCTCTCAGAGTGGGGGCTCTCGCCTGCCCCAGAGGCAGTGAGTGTCTGCAGGAGGAAAGGTCACTTCCCCACAGTGACCCCTAGCCCGAAAGCAGCATCTTCAGTCCCCCCATGAGAGGCAGCAGTTTGAACTGGGGAGGCAGCTGCACAAACAGGCAAAGCAAAGAGAGTATTTTGGCTGCTTACACTTACTGCAGAAATGTACTGGCTGTTTGTGAACCTGGGTTTCTCCTCCATGGCAGAGCTGTGCTGTGAGCCTAGGGGCATGTAGGGGGGTGAGCCCAAGTCTTCACAGAAGCTTTCTTGTGGGATGCTGGAGACGCAGCCACTGTCGGAGCCGCTGGAGCCGCTGCCTGACATGCAGTGCGATGACTCTGAGCTCTCTGTTGCTGGGAGGAGAGAGGAAGGTCACTCTGATGACCATGAATTTGGCCTACATGACCTGTGCCACATACACTTGATAATGAATCTGTTTGCAGAGGCACTAGCCACACAAGCCCACAGACAAGCCACACTCCTGTCTGGGCCTCTTTAAAGCCATAGACAACAAAATAACCCCAGGAAAAGCAGCAAACGATGCTGGAGATCAGTATAGACTGGCCAGGAAAGTTCACCCAGGGGAAGCCATGGGGTCACTGGACCAGGCTGGCGAGAGTAAGGGACAGAGCTCCTCATATCAGAGGGGCAGATACATGAGCACTGGTCTCTGAGGCCACAGCAGCCCCAGTACGTGGCACCAAGCCCAGCACAGGGATGGCACTTTACCAACCCCTGCCTTTGAGCTAACTCCCCCCATGAACGCCGAGCCAGTGCTGGCACAGGAAGGGCAGGGCCCTTCTCGCCCCAGTCTGGGTACACAACAGGGACTGCCATGACCCCAGCAAGCCTGATCCGACCACACAGCAGGGAACAAGGTGTGGGGATGAGTCCACAGATCCCAGGGCGCACTGCGGAGCAGCGGGTTCATACATACTCAGTGACGGCTGGCTGCTCGTCTCGTGCTCCAGCTCGTCTTCCTCGATGCAGGTGCCGATGTCAAAGGGGCGGCTGGGGGCCAGGACGCCCGGCAGCAGAGCCTGGTCCAGGTACATGTGGAGGTTGAGGGGGCCCAGCAGGGAGGAGGAGGAAGGGCTGTACGCAGGGGGGTTGCTGCCAGCAGAGAGCTGCGCCTGGGTCCTCTTGTACGGGTTGGAATGGTCAAACAGAGACACCGCGATTGATGCTCTGGTCCTGGCACCTGCCAGAAAACATAACAAAAAAGCCCTGAGCACCAGTCTTGCCTAGCTCACGTGGAGCAAGGGGGCAGGCCCAGCTGGCACCTACCTCTGCCTTTCATGATGTAGTCAATAGCACGGTCATTGATAGCTGCCTCGCTGGGTTTAATGTCCAGGAACGGCTTGTTGCCCACGCCCATGGAGACCATCTCCTGCATACGGATTTCTGCAGAGGAAGAAACCCCCAGCCACATCGTGAGGTTGACCCAACCCTCTCCACAGGCATTCTGCAGCCCCAGGCCACAGCACTCCCAAGCCAGGCTGCTCCTGAACTACTGAGATTAGATTTGTTCTCCCCTTGCTCCCCAGTCCTGAGGAGTCTCCAGGAACAAGCAATCATGCCCAGCTCTGGCCAAGTAGCTCAGTGCCATGCCACCTACAAGAGTCCTGCCAAGCGGGAAGCCTGGGGTGGAGAGGAGGGACTCAGCCAGCCTGACCCAGGCAGCTGCCACTCCCATGGTGGCCTAGATCACAGGGAGAGCAGCAAGCCTTTCAGGAGCACAGTCTGTGCTCACAGGGCAGGGAACCCTGTGCTAGTGTCTCCCATTTCTCTCGTGGAGTCCAGGTGAGTGTCTCCAGTCACACAGAGCTTGGACTGGTCAAGTTCCCTGGGGACAAGGGGCAGGGAAGGGACATGCCCAGCCAAGCCCAGCACATGCTCCTGAGGCTGCATGCTGGCACACAGCTCCCTGGTAACAGGCTCCAAACCTCCTCAGGACACACGAGCTGAACAGGGCTCCCGCACCTTTTGCGGCACAGACGCCCCAGGAAGGAATCACACCTTTATTGCGGGCTGCCTGCTGCCACAGGATCTTGGCAATATCACTGGTCCAGGCCTGCTTAGTCTCGGCTGAGCTGGCCTGGAGAATGTAGGTGTCACTGGACTTCCGCCTTCGGAACCAGATCTCAAAGCGCAGGCCACTGTCTCCAGAGTTCTCCGTCAGACCGATGTCTGCAGTCTGCCAGAAAAAGGAAGAGCAAAGCATCAACTAGGGCTCCACCAGGAGCAGAAAGGGTAAACTCTGCAGGGCTGCCCTTACCTTGAAGGAGCGCTTGTAGATATACACATCAAAGCCACCCTCGATCCTCTTGGGCTTGCTGAACAGGATCAGGTCCTCGAAGAGGAAGACGTGTCGCTGGCACTTCCTACGGCCCAGCCAGATGGTAAACTCGTCCTGCCGCACCAGCTGCCCCTGCTCCTTCAGGTTCACCTGGACACAGGGAACATCCTGGTAAGACCCCAGCAGGATCAGGTCTGGGCAGCCCCAGGACTGGACTTGGAGAGCAGGGTCCCATATGGCTGTGGCCCAGGTGGTGAAGAGGTGGCAGCTACCTGTCATGTTAGGAGGGCTCTTGAAGAGGTAGAGCTGTATGGCATTGCTAGAGGCCACATCAGGCTGAAACAACTGGCTCAGAGCACAGGGGAGAGCTGCCCCCTTCTCCTTGGCATAACCCACAGAGAACCCTCTCCTGTCACCCTGTGCAGATCTGTGACAAACCTCTGGGATGGCAACTGGAGGCAGCAGTTAGAGCTTTCTCTTGGGGCAAAGAAGAGAACTGAAGAGGAAAGGAGTCGCATCAAACTGCCAGGAGCACATCTGGGTCAGAAGGCCAGTCCCTCAGTTCTTCCTGCCCCAGATCCATCTTCTTCCACTCTGAGCCCTGTGGTTTCTCCTCCTCCAGTGTCACACTGCACACCTCTACTGATTTTGGCCTATCCCTGGCATCAGCATCAGTTCGAATTCCTTCTTGCAAACTGCCTGACCCTCTTATCACCAGCTCAAAAGTGATGGAAGAGCCCAAGGCGGCCTGCAGGATGCCATCTGTAAGGGCTGCCAGGCTGCCTCACATCACCAGTGAGCACCTGGGAGAGTGTTTATGACAAGCAGCTCACAGCTCAAGTAACAGTATCCAGGCTATTTGTCCTAGCAGACCAAGGAGACCTCCAAGCCCTGCTGTTCCCTTGTCCTGCTAATCTGCACTGGCAGACGGCACCCTGATCACTGTGGGAATTTGAGGGGAGGCTCACCATACGATCCAGAGACCCCAAGTCTAGAGAAGGGGAAGAAGTGTGGCTCTGCCCCCCCTGGGCAGGGGAGGACACTGGAACGTACATCACAGTCACGGATGGCATCCATGGCCAGCAGGTCATTTCCGTGCCGGAGCTGGAACTTCACCATCTCCTCAGCTGCACGGAGGTAGCCCAGCTCCTGCTCTTGTGCCTCGCTGCACTCCTTGATCAGGTCCTTCAGGAGCAGGGCATATTTGCTCATCCGCTGGATGGGTTTCAGCAGGTAGGAGGCCAGGTCCATCTTATCCCCAAGCTGCACCTGCTTGAACTGAGAAATGCAGCAAAGTGAAGGCAGCAGCTTTCCACGGAGAGCCCTGTGCCCCCAGGCAGGCACTGACACCCACAGCTTTCCACACAGGGGTACCCCGTTCACTCTGAACAGAAACATAAGGCCATAGGACCAATGCTGCTGTGTGCTTGCCTCCCTTCCAAAGCACTCGCTGCATCTCTGCCCCCATCTCCCCACATACACTTGTGCAGCGAGCTGTGCCAGGAAAGCAGAGGCAGTGCTGAGCATGCCTCAAGCAGGAAAAGTGGGCTCGTTTAAACAGATCAGCAACCCAAACACCAAAAGCAATCATGCTGCAGGCAGTAGAATTTACCTTGAAGAAGGTATTCCCATGACTGGCCAGCAGCGAGTCTGACTTCGGCTTGTTCTTACTATACAACGCGTACATCCCAAACTGGTCTTTCTGCAAAAGAGATCCCCATGTGAGGCCAACACACACTGAACACAGCGACAGCCATGCCCCTGGGTTGGTTACTCTAGTACTTCTGCCTCTCCCAGGCTGCACCCAAGCCTCTTATGATATCAGGAACCACTTTGCTTCAAGTTGATTAAGAGCCACTGTCTTCCTACTCCTACAGTAGCTAGGACTTTTGAATCCATTGTGCTGTTACCCCTTGCCTGTTACATACCCCAACAGATACCATTCACCTGGTAGCAGCAAACACGCACAGGGCAGCTGAGCTTAAGACTGGTGCCCCATGCTTCTCCCTGACAGCCCTTTTCAACAAGAGCAGCAGGTCTCTCCCTCTCTGCTCATTAAAGTCAGTCCACACTGACACCACAGGCAGCAGACAGGGTAAGTGATGCCCCTGCAGAAGCAGGTGGGCTTTAAAAAGCAGACATTTTGCTTCCCTGGCAGCGTCTCTTGGTAGCAAAGAATAACAGGAAAGGCAAAAAGCATCTGCTGCTGCCTGGGCTCAGCCACACAGAGCCATCCCAGTCCGATCCAGCATTTGAGCTGGCAGGGGATAAACCTCCTGCTCCCAAACAGCCACATGCAGGTGAGGTGCCAAACATATAGGCGCTGCTGGGCACAGGAGCCAAGCATGTGTCCAGAGGAACCCGACCCCAGGGGGAAGGTGCTGATGCCTTACGTGTCGGAGGAAGCAGTGGCTGACCCGCAGCGGGTGGTTGCAGCAGCTCTCGAGCTCTCTCAAGAAGTACTGGCTGTGGAAGTCATAGAGTTTCTCCAGGTTCCCAAAAATGACGCTGCGCTTCCCACGCAGGTCCTGGGGGAGGTCAAGGCGCTCCATCTCAGGGAAGTAGCTATCGATGATGTAGCAAAGCGACCTCACATATTCCCGCTCCGTGGTAACCATCTCATCAATGATGTGCCGCAGCTTGCTGCAAGAGGAAACACTCAGCCTTGCAGGGACCCAGACTGCAGCAGGGTGCTGCAGAAGTCTAAGGGTGCCTGCAAAGCACTGGACTATCCCGAGAGAAGCTCTCCCTGAGACCGAACACAGAGATGAGATGATCCCTTAGCACCACATGAGCTCAGATTCACAGCCATCTGTGATAGCTCTGACCCTGAGCACGGACAGTTCGTGGCTGATCCGAGGCTGTTCTGTTCAGGAAGGGTGAGCCCCAGGCTGGCTGTGGTCCTGGCCCAGCCTCAGCAGGACACACACCCCTGGGCCCACCCAGACCCTGCTCTGGACAAAAGAGGCTGCCCCACAACTGACTGTGCTCCTGAAACAACAGGGAAAGCAGAAGTCATGATGACTCCTGTGAGGAGGAGTCAGCCTGATGACTGTGGATGCTGTGGGAGGCAATGTTAACAGCAGGGGAAGACGAGCTCTAGACTCAGGTGCTGTTGGGCTTGTCCCAGTAGAAGCGAGAGCGGGAAACAAACCTTGTACCACTTCATCAGCAAACAGCAGTTCCTAGCACGGGTTGCTCTGCAAGTCTCTGAAAGGATCGCTCTTAGGTACTTGAGGTTTCCACTGCGAGGCAGTGCAGCACCAAACATAACTACTCCAACATGTGCCTGCCTTCCCTGCCTCTCAGCTTTCCTCCGGGAGGACTGCTGCATCACTCCCTGGAGAAGCAAAGCAGTCAGCCTCCTAGCTGCTGGTGTTCATCCCCTGCCATGAGCTCTCCTGACACATGCTAGGATATGAGAGGCCCCTGCCAGATTCCACTGTCCCCAGCCATCCCATCCAGAGCAGCAGCAGTGGAGGAGCGATGTGGTCCCCCTGCATCCAGCACTTGTTTCTCATCTCTGCCACCAAGTTACTTATTTATTTTTTTAATCCTTTCCAGTGAAAGCAGCTGAAAGACCTGCCTGGTGACCTCCTTCCAAGAACAGCTCACATCCCGGGGCTCTCCATAGCCTAGGCACGTTGCAGTATGACAACAAAGTTAAGCCAAGAGCCTCAAGCACAGAGAAGGAATAAAACTGAGCTGTTGGTCACCCAAACAGAGATCTCAGCCCCAAAGGGCAAATACAAACACCCTCTTACCTGAGAAGCTGCTGCCACAGGGTACTGGAAGTGCCTCCCCACCAGTCTGGCTACAGCACCCCCCAAAAGTGTGTGGGATGATGCACTACACTTCTGCTCTCCCACTGCACCTGTGCCACTGGTTTGCCAGATCCTTGAACACTAGGTTTCTGCAAACCCTTGTCCTCCAATGCCAGCAATGTTTAGAGACTCCCTCTCCTGCCTGGGATCTGCTCTTTCCCCTCTAACAGAGGAACCATGCTGTGGGGGAAAAGCAAGAGGCAGGTGCCAGGCTGTGTGGGGACATCCCTGTGGTCTCGCTCAGCACCACCACACGTGCACGTGCAGGGAAGCTGGAGCTGCATCTCCATCTATCTGCCCCGTACCCATTGCCAAAGTAACTGTCACTGCAGAGCTCTTCACATCTTTGCTGGCTGCCTTTCCACCACCCTGAGGACCGGAGCACCGAGTGTCACAGCCACTTACCTGCCCCAGCTCTTGGCTTCCGACACGGAGAGGCCGCCCCTCTGTCCCTCCAGCAGGCAGTCCGTGGCCCAACTGTGAGCAGCTTGCTGCCGCAGAGCGAAAGTCCTGTCCACCAGCTCAGTGCTGCTCACCTCCAGCCCCTTAATAAAGACACCAGTGTTGCCGTATCTGGCCGGCTCGCTCAGCGTCCTCTGGCAGCCTGACCACAGGCTCTCGCCGCAAGGGAAGTCAAAGCTTTGGGCCTTCCGGAGCATCCGCCTGGGAGGCAGCTTCCCAGAGGCTGGAGTGGACGTGCAGGATGGCTTGACCTCCAGGGTTTCTAATATGCTCTCCAAGTTTGGCTTTTCTTCAGGCAGTTTTGGAGACTTGGAGGCCCCGCTGGCAAAAGAAACTCTGCTCGATTGAGGACCAGGGCTGAGAGCAGCTTGGCAGGCAAATTCTTCCCCAACATTGACATCGCCAGGGCAGCTCAGGGAGGGTGAAGGAGCTTTCTCTTTAGTCCAACCCGGAGCGCAGTTGGGCCTGTTGTAGCAGTGGGACGCGTTGTAAGTCCTGTCCCAGTGGGACCCAGAGGTGGACCCCTCAGAAAGCCTCCGGTGGGACAGACTGCCAGCCTCACTGCCAGCCCGGGGCTGCTCCCCTGCAGCTGGTTTGCGGTCTGACAGCAGAGACCTCCTTGTTCTCAAGGCTGCTTCAAGTTTCTTTTCAAAAACCAGCTTGGTCTCCTGGCATTTGGACCATGCAAATTTCCACTGCTTGAGTCCCTTGTCACTCTTCAGCTCACAGGCCAGCTCCTTCATCTCCTGGAACCGGGCATCGCTGATGTCTGGGTGCTGCCCCTTGTAACTCTCCAGGCACTTGATGACACCTGCACAGTGTTCGGCAGAGCTGCAGTCCTCCATGCTGATGCAGGCAAGGTGTCGCATCCCTTCCAAGGCCCACTCGTACGCCTGCGGAGAGCGAGAACAAAAGGCAAGAGCCAGTCAGAGGGACTCAGGGAAGAATAGCCCTAATTCGGTGCCTGAAGACAAGAGAAAGGATCAGTGTGTGGCCACCACAGTTCCTCGAGCATGAGAGAAGGAGGGGCTGCTATTGTCAATAGGGCTTAACAATTCAGTAAAACAAACGGCTCCTTATGTAGAGGGCTTCAGCTGTGCTGACTGCTCTGCCACAGCTCCACCTCCCTGCCAGGTCCCTGTGACACTGGGCACCTACACTGCTGGGCACATTTGTCTTCTCTGGGCAGGGAGTCCCAGGGGAAGCTGCTGCCAAGACTGCAGGAATTCACACCTCACTGTGGCCCTGCTCGGTGTAAAACCCGTAACTCGCTCTCCTCCTTTGCCCAGCCATTCTCACCACTACCACGCAGGATGAGGTCGAAGGGGCATCGGTAAGCTGCAAGGAATGGGATTGCTGCTCCCCGTGCCATTTCCCCACAGCTGACGGCATGCAGAGGGCTGGAGCTTGATCAGAGCTGGGCTCTGTGGATCACCCCAAGTGCTCTGACCTATCATCCTGGCAGCAAGCAGGTATCTGAGACGGTGCAAGCCTAGCTGCAACTCATGCATTTTCTGTGTCTGCTGGCGCCCATGTGCTGTGCCGTGCCCTGCCTACCTGCCTAGCTCTGCTTGCCAGTGCGCTACATGCTTCTGCTAGTTAGTCAAATTCATCGCTCAGCAGTTTATTTTTAATGCTCCAGGAATGCTGAAAGCAGTTTCATGGGGCTTAAATCTAGCAGTGGTGCATGTGCTGGCCTTGCTAAAACAGTTCTGCCGTTATCAGTCAAACAAGAGAGTGGGACACAACGTGTTCCAGTGTGACAGATGCAAGGTAAGAGTGCCTCACCACCACGGCAGGAAAGGGGCTAATGAAACACCGTCTGTCATCGATACAAATGAGAGGAAAGGCAAATATCTGAATTTGTCAGGCTCATAAGCCACTACTTCCTCCACAAAGCATGGATGATGCCAAGATTTAACTGCAGAGAGACTAAGATGTGATCAGCTGCCATAACCTGGCCAGGCAACTTTACTGCTCATCAGTGAAAACACAAGAGTTATTTGGTAAAATCAGATGCACAAGGCAGGGAAAATGTCCAGGACAGGCCTGCCTGGCACCTTCCACCAACTGCCTAAGATCAGTGATGTACAGAAACACCACAGGCTGCCCTTGAAGTAAGTCAGACCACCTCTAGCACTTGACCTGTGTCAGGCCTTGTATTTCTGCAAAGAAGCAACACTCATGCTTAGTGCCAGGAACAAAGTGA